ACACTCCGAATCTGAACCCTGCTATCGGGGGGAGCCAGAAGGAGAGGGAGGGGGGAAGGGGCACAACGAGAGGGCAGCATGAGGCAGAGCCACACGTGTGAGGGGCGAGAGGAGAGGACACGGGGGGAAGTATGTAGAGGAGGATGAGGAGACGTGGGGTGGGAGAGGGACGGGGACATGGAAATTGAGAGTGAAGGGGGATGAGGAGGAGGGAGGGAGAGACAATAGGAAGACGACGTAAATGATGATACTGACGATGACGATGATACTGGTGCTGCTGATGACGATGGTGGTGATGATGATTCTGATGATGATGATGATGATGACGATGATGATGATGATGATGCTGATGATGATGATGATGATGATGATGATGGTGGTGGTGATGATGATGATGATGATGATGATGATGATGATGGTGGTGGTGGTGGTGGTGTGGTGATGACGATGGTGCTGTTGATGCTGATGCCGCTGCTAATGATGATGGTGACGATGGTGATGAGGGAGAGGGAGGCGGATGTCCTCGCCTGCTCTCCGTGCTCCTCCTGCCAATCCCCCTTTTCGTCGTCGTCGTCGCCGTCGTCGTCGTCGCAAGGTTGCCACCTTTGCCCTCGCCTCCAGGAAGCTGAAATACAGTGACATTCCCTTCTTCAGGGTTTCGCACGAACCAGAAACATGCAACTTCGGGTTATGATTTCATGGGATATCTCAGGACCTGGGAACTCCAGAGGATTATGTAGCAAAGCCACCGACGGGGTCACCAGGCCTGGGACCTCCACTTGTTCAAACTCTGTTCAGGGCTCTGGAGCATTTTCCAGGCATCCAGGGCTCCCCAGGACGGTCCCACTGGGCGCCAAGAGGCCTCCAAGATGACCACAAATTGGCCAGAAGAGACCACAAGGACCGCGCGAGCGCGTCGTCCAAAAGGGCCCGCGGAAGCGCCTCGAGTGGCAAACTTTGTTCAAGGGTTCTGGCTCCAAGAGGCTTCTGAGAGGACCCCGAGGGGCCAATATCAGTAAAACACTGAAGCAACTCATGAGGTTTTGAAGGTGTCGCTTCTTCGCTTCCGATGGCCTTCTGAGGCTTCTGGATGGTGTTGTATGTCCACGCGTGCCCCACGATCAGCCCCACAAGGCCAAAGACGGCCCCACGATCGCTCCCATCCAGATTGCTTCCGAACGCGTCTGGCGGGCCAAGAGCGCCCCAGAGGAGCCTGAGGTAGCCGCAAGACGGTCGATGGGGGTCCCCAGGGCTTTCAAGATGACACCGAGACGGCCCAAGAGGGCTTCAAGACGGCCTTCGAGACCGCGAGGCCCAACATGGCCTCCAGAAGGCCCCAAGAGGCCCCCACGAGGCTTGCCAAGATGGGGTCATCGAGTCTCCGTGTTGCGCTAGAACCTAAGCGCGCTGCGAACTGCGCGCGTGGTTATAGCGCCTCACGGAGCCGCCTATATATGTTTATCTACACAGATATGTATACACACATGTTATATCTATACGTGTATGTATGTATGTATGTATGTATGTATGTATGTATGTATGTATGTATGTATGTATGTATGTATGTATGTATGTATGTATATGTATGCATGCATGTATGTATGCATGCGTATGCATACACACATACATACATGCATACACATACAAACATACCTACATGTATACATACATACGTACATACGTACATACTTACCTACGCACATACATACACACATACATACACGTATACAGATATGTGTATATATGTACATATTCTCATACGCACCTCTCCGAGGGAGTAGAACTCAGAGGCGATTAATGCGTCCGTCGTTCGCGATTTTTCTGGCCGTTTCGCTCGGGACATCCTCGAAATTCTGAAAATCGGTGGCACCCCTCACGCAGATCGTGACGTCAGGGTCCAAAAACACATAGGATTTCCAACATTTTATCATAACACCGTCAAACACACATGGTAATTTCAATGTTTTGGACTCCGATTCTCAGAGAATGGCGGTTTCGCCTGAGACATCCTCCCAAAATCGAGCCCCAGACCCCTCCTCGGAGCCTCCTGGGGGCCTCCTGGAACCTCCTGGGGCCTCCTGGGGCTTTCTGGACCTTCTGGTACCCCAGACCCCGCCTCGGAGCCTCCTGGAGTTCTCCTGGGCCTGCTGAGGCCGCCTGGGGCCTCCTGGGGCCTCCTGGGGCCCCCTGGGGCTCAGAACTACATGCACACACAGAGACACAAATCACGCCCAACACATCACACGCTAGACAAACATAACATACACACACAACACCGACAACATGCAAAAACACGCACCACACAAAGCACACATCACACACACAACACTCACAATCCTGGGGCCTCCTGGAGCCTCTTCTGGTATCCAAGTCGGGCCTCCTGAGGCTTCCTGGGGGGCCCTGGTACACACATCGCAAGGTGTGGCAACCCCACTTGCGCTCGAGTGCGACTTCGCTGTTGCATGTCACTCCTGCTTCAAACGCCCCTTCAGCTTGTTGTATGAGCCTGGGCACACACGTGCCACCTGTATAATTATATGGACATATGTGTAGATCGACAGTCGCATATGCGTACGCGTTTATGTGTATATGTATATGTATGTATATATATGTGTAGAGAGAGAGGGAGGGAGGGAGGGAGAGGGAGAGACATAGAGAGAGACAGAGAGAGAGAGAGCGAGAGAGGGAGAGAGCGACATTACGATATCGATACGTGTATTTCGAGGGGGGAGAGAGAGAGAGAGAGAGAGAGAGAGAGAGAGAGAGAAAGAGAGAACACATCAAAAAGGGTCTATAGACATACATACATACATACATACATCCATCCATCCATCCATCCATCCATCCATCCATCCATCCATACATACATACATACATACATACATACATACATACATACATACAGACAGACAGACAGACAGACAGACAGACAGACAGAAGACAGACAGACAGACAGACAGACATACATACATACATACATACATACACGACTCTTACCACTGCCGACCCCTATATAAGAAAGAGCGTGTTCTACCGCTGCTGGCGGAAAACCGGGGGGGGTCACTACCGGTTCGAACCCAGGAAAACGGGGGGGGGTCACTACGGGTTCGAACACCTCCCCCCCCTCCCCCCCAGTTCATCATGAAAAGGGGGTGGGGTCACTACCGGTTCGAACCCCCCCCCCCTCGAAAACCGGAAAACCGGGGGGGGTCACTACCGGTTCGAACCCCCCCTCCCCCCCCCCATCGAAAACCTAGGGTGGGTGCGGACAGTGGTGGGGCCCGTGGTGGTGGGGACAGTGGTGAGGGGACAGCGGGACAGTGGTGGGGACAGTGGGACAGTGGTGGGGACTGTAGTGGTGGGGACGGTGGTGGTGAGGACAATGGTGGGGACAGTGGACAGTGGTGGGGACGGTGGTGGTGGGGACAGTGGTGTGGGGACAGAGGGAGGTGGAAACAGTGGGACAGTGGAGGGTACAGTGGTGGTGGGGACAGTGGTGAAGGCGGTGGCGAGGACGGCGGTGGGACAATGGGACAGAGGTACAGTGGGAACAGTGGTGGGGATTGGGGACAGTGGTGGGAACAGTGGGACAGCTCAGTGGGACTGCGGAGGAGTCAGTGGGACAGTGGGGACAGTGGGGATGGTCGTGCAATGGTTGGGGCCGTGGAGCAAGTGGGGAGAGTGGAACCGTGGTGGGAACAGTGGTGGGGACAGTGGGGACACTGCGACAGTGGTGGGAGCACTGGTGGGGACAGTAGGGACGGTGGTGCAACCAGTGGGGACAGTGGTGGTGAGGACAGTGGTGCTGGGAACAACAGTGGGGGATGTGGCGCGGACGGTGGTAGGGACCGGGAGTCGTTTGCTGGCGGTGAGTGGGGGGTGGAGGGGTTCGAACCGGTTCGAACCGGTAAGACCCCCCTCCGGTTTTTTCGGTTTTCGAGGGGGGGGTGTTCGAACCGGTAGTGACCCCCCTCGGTTTTCGAGGGGGAGGGGGTTAGGGGGGGGGGGGGGGGTTGCTGGGGAGGGGAGGGGGGGGGGGTCCACCAGGGGGGGGGGGGTATTTTCGGTGAGGGGGGGGGACCCCCGGGTTCCGGAGGAAAAGGGCTGCAATTTTTCCACAGTAAAGCGGCGGTGGATTACGCTCTCTCCTATATACACTATTGCGCCTCCAGGATCGCATTTCACGAGGCTTGTCCGAATCATGACACGGCGATAGACATCGTTCTTGTTGCGTCGTTGCTGTTATCGTACCTTTTGGTGTCCTTTTGTGGCCTTTTGGTGGCATCTTTGTTTGTCTGCAGGCCATATCCGGCCTCCACGAGGCCTTTTGGGAGCTTCCTGGGGGCTTCTTGGAGGTCTTGAAGGTTCTCTTGGGGGTACCTCAGGGCCTCTTGGGGCGTTCTTGGGGCAGGCTGGAGGCGTCTTGGGACCGAAGGCTTGAAAAGGTGCTCTCTGGACTCCCTCTTGGAGCCGTCTGGAGGCCCTCTTGGGCTGTCTTGGGGGCTTAGTGGGCTGTTTTTGGACCCTCTTCGACCCCTCTTGGGGGCCCCTTCGGCCGTCCAGGGGCGATATTGAAGGTTTCTTTGCCCGTCTTGGACGTTGTGAAAGCCGAAAATGCGAGTATGCGGCGTCAAGGAGCGATGTTTCGGCGACTCGTGGCCCTCTGGGACCGTCTGAGCGTTTTGGTGCTTTCTTGTCCCCTTTAGGAATCCTCCGCTCCCCCGCGACGCGTTTGGCCCAGGGTCGGGCCGGGCCGGGGTGGGGGTCAAATTGCCGGTTTGAGGTCCCCGGGGGGGGATCATCTCACACGCCCAGAGACCCACAAGGGGGCGGCCGGCGGCCGATATAGAGCGAGAGAGAGAGAGAGAGAAATAGTGAACGAGAAAGAGAGAGAGAGAGAAAGAGAGAGAGACACGCACACAAACAGAACACACACAATGAGAGACAGAGGACGGGGCAGCGGACTGACGAGATCGATGACGGACAGCTCACGCGGGGAGGTGACCGTGACTGCCAGCGGGCCGCAGGCGATGTCGCTGCCTTGTGGGTGGGTGGTTTCTGCAGTTGCAGCCACTTGTGAATAGCAAGCTTTGTTCCACACATGCTTAGTGGGGTTCTTGTTTTCGTTCCACCCACGTCTCACCCACGTTCCTCCCCTCACCGCTCCTCCTCCTTCTCCCTCATTCTCCCTCACCCCTCCTCCTCCATTCCTTCACGCTCGTGTTTTTAGAGACGCGCACACAAGGTACCCTCACCACGCGTGTTGAGAGTATCATACACCCAAAACGTATGCGCCACATACTGGGCATCCTCATGATACGCACGGCCACACGTATCCTCACACGCATCACACATGACCCACATTGAGATACGCGTTCACATACAGCCGCACGCACATCATACACATGCACAAGGCACACACGACACAACAAGACACATGCACGCTCGACACCATAGGGGGTGCGCAGGGGGTGGTCTTTGAGCGCGGCCGCTATCCGTCACGGTCGTCCAGGGCATAGCAGGCGTGGCCGATTCTCGACACCATGGGGGGTGCGCAGGGGGTGGTCTCTGAGCGCGGCCGCTATCCGTCTCGGTCGCCCAGGGCATAGGGGGCGTGGCATATTCTCGACACCGTAGGGAGTGCGCAGGGGGGGGGGTTGAGCGCGGCCGATAACTGTCACGGTCGCCCAGGGCATAGCAGGCGCGGCATATGCTCGACACCATCGGGGGTATGCACGGGTGGGTTTTGAGCGCGGCCGCTATCCGTCACGGTCGTCCAGGGCACAGGAGCGTGGCAGATTTTCGGCAACCATAGTGGGTGCGCAAGGGGTGGTTTCTGAGCGCTGCCGCTATCCGTCACGGTCATAGCAGGCGTGGCGCATTTTCGACACTGTAGGGGGTGCGCAGGGGGTGGTCTTCGAACGCGGCCGCTATCCGTCGCGTGGCGTGTTCTCGACACCATGCGGTTTGCGCAGGGGGTTGTCTCTGAGCGCGGCCTACGGGGTGCGCAGGGGGTGGTTTCTGATCGCGGGCGCTATCCGTCAGTGACGGATACCGCGACTCACGGTCGCCCAGGGTCTCGACACCATGAGGGGGTACGCAGGGTGTGGTGTCTGAGCGCGGCCGTTATCCGTCACGGTCGTCCACGGCATTGCAGGCGCGGCAAATCCGCGACAACCATAGTGGGTGCGCAGGGGGTGGTCTCTGAGCGCGGTCGCTACTCGTCACGGTCGCTCAGGGCATCGCAAGCATGCATATGTTCTACACCGTGGGGGGTGCGCAGGAGGTGGTTTCCGAGCACGGCCGCTATCCGCGACTATCGTCCAGGGCATAGCAGGCGCGGCATACTGTCGACACTACAAAGGGGTGCGCAGGGGGGGGGGTTCTGAGCGCGGCCGCTATCCGTCACGGTCGTCCACGGCATATCAGGCGTGGCGTGTTTTCGACACCAGAAGAAGTGCGCAGGGGGTGGTTTTGGAGCGCGGCCGCTATCCGCCACGATTGTCCAGGGCATAGCAGGCATGCCATATGCTCGACATCGTAGGGAGTGCGCAGGGTGTGGTGTCTGAACGCTGCCGCTATCCGTGACGGTTGTCCAGGACATAGCAGGCGTGGCACATTTTCGACACCATAAATAGGGTGCGCAGGGGGTGGTTTCTGAGCGCTGCCGCTATCCGTCACGGTCGCCCAAGGCATAGCACGGGTAGCGTTCTCTCGACATTGTGGGAGTTGCGCAAGGGGTGGTCTCTAAACGCGGCCGCTATCCGCCACGAACGTCCAAGGCATAGCAGGCGTGGCATCATCGTCATCATCATCAGCATCATCATCATCATCAACATCATCAAGAACTGCCGCCACCCTTGCTCGTTCCGGCTCAGGCCGCTGGATATGTGAACGCGGGCGACCGCCTGTGATTTGTCAAAGGTACGGTCCCCGTCATGGTGCCCAAATGTGCCGCGTCCGCACTGCCACCGCCGCGCGAGCAGCTCAAACAATCACTGCTAGAGATGGTCGCCGAGGTGACCGTGGATGGTTAGCCCGGACATGTCGTCAGGCATGGGGGCGTCTTAGTACAATGCGCATTTCATGCTCGACAGCCGATGAATTGGTGGCCTGACATGCGATTCGCCAAGTACGAACAGATGCCGTGTGAACGAGGCGCTGGCGATGCAAGGGGGCAGTGCGTGGCGAGCTCCTTACTGGACCCCTCTTCGGGCAGGTTTCCGAGAGACTTCTCTTCCGATTTGTCCGGGGAGAAGGGGGCGGGCGGTGGCCCGCTGCCAGCGCGGGTTCGGCGAGCCCAGGAGGCCGGCATAGCGGGTGCTGGCCCAGCACCTTCTGCGGGGCGACATGCTCAGCTCTGACCAATAGCAGAAAGTTTGGAGGTCAATTTTTATGTTTTGATTTTCTTTCTGATATTCGTAGATTGGCGGTTGGAGAGGGCCCGCTTGGCCCCCCCCAGATTTGGCGCGATCTCCACGTTGCGTTCAACTTGTAACGCGCTTTTTGATCCAAAGCCATCGGGCTGAAGTCGGACCACCGCCGCGTTGTGTCGCCCAGCCCATGGAGATGCGCGATGTTCACATGTGTTGCTCCATCGCCACTACTGGAGAGTTCTGTTCTCCCCAAGAGGGGCGTAGGGTGGGCCAAGGGCGATGGCGGGCGGGAGGAGGGGAGCTGCTTGTCCTCTCCCCCCCCCCCGCGGCGTCCCGCCGTTCCCGCGCTCGATTCCCCCCCGTCGCTGGGCGCGCAGGGGGCGCCGCCACATTTTGCCCGCGAGCCCGCGAGCCGCCCGCCTGGAAGGGGCCCTCGCGCGGGCCCAGTCCGCGGCTACATATTTTGTTGCCGGGCAACTTCCCTTCGTAGCACCCCCGACGCCCCGCTCCTTAGGAAACGCGGCGACCGACGGGCGTGGCAGCCCTTTTCAATATTGGGGTGCCCAGTTCCGCATTACCTCCCAGAACCCACGATACAAAATAACAGTATGGCTGCCTTGATTTTGCGCGAGCGTGCTCGGAGGTTCCGACGGACTGATCCTTGATCATCCTCGTTCGTTTGATCGTTGGGTGGCGGCCGTGACGCCTCGCGTCGGCCCTCTTTCCGTCGTCCTTCTTCTCACCCTGTTTTTCTGATTCTTTTTGGCTTTCGTTCAATCGCTGGGAGGCCGAATCGCGTGGGTGGCGAACTCTTCCGTCTCGGCGAGCGCCCTGTCAGCCTCGCCCAGGGGGAACCGTCGGTCCGTTGCGCGGGCGCCCCAAACCGTGACGATCCAATCCCCCCTATTCATCGCCAGGCGCTCGTTTCGACGCGCCCCCGCCCTTTCGGCGCAACCGCCGGCGTCCAGAATCCAGCGGGGGAGCCCCCAGGGGCCTCCCTCACCAGTCGGCGGGGTAATTATGTGTCTTCTCTGGAGCGTCGCCCCTCGCTTCCCCAACGCCCGCTCGGGGAGGCGTGGGCATTCACGGAAATCTTCTAGAATTCCCCGAGGGGGCTTTTGGGAAACCCAGGGGTCCCGAAGGACAGTGTCAAGGGACCCTAAGGAAACCCAAGAGCCCAGGTGTCTCTACGACGTGGTCCCCTCTCTTGCCTCTTCCCTCCTCATGCGCCTTTTCCCCCGGCGCCTGCCCCCTTCCGCCCTCCCTACCCCTCCTGCACCCTTCCGCCTGCTCCTGCCCTGCCCCGCCCCCCCCCATCAACCACTTTCCCCCCTCCGCGGTCCCTCGTCTCTCCTTCCTTCACCCTCGTTCTCCCTGCTTCCGTCTTCCTGCCCCCCTCCTTCTTCCTCTTATTTTCCACCTCCCTTGTTCCTCCTCCCTTCCCTCTCTTCGCTCCCCCGCGCTCCCTCGCCCCCCCTTCTCCCTCTTCCCCCGCCCTGACCCCCCCTCCGCCCTCCCCTGTCCTCTTCCGCGCCATGCGTTCGCCTTCCCTCGCCCCGTCCACATCCGCTCCCCGCCCTCCGCCTTCGCTCACCCTCCGCCCTCACCCATTCTCCTTCGCCCCGCCCTCCCTCATCTCACTCGCCCTGCCTCCTCCCGCCCACCCCGCCCCCCATCCTTCCTCACCTTCCGTCCGCTGTTCCACCCTCGCTCATATTCCCTCATTCCCCCTCCTTCACCTTCCACCCTTAACCATCGACTCCCCCTCGCGCTTCCTCGCCCTCCACCTCCTCCCTCGGTTTCCACCGGCCCTCCCCCTCCACCCTCGCCCCGGGGGGCGGCCGCCAATTTCTCCGCCAATTTTTTTATGACGGGATTCTTGCTTGAAAAGATTGGAGGAGAAATTGGCCATGGAATCCGAAATGTTTTTTCGCCGAATTTTTGGTGTAATTTTTGGCGGTTTTTTTTTCCGAGTTTCCCGGGCGCAGTTTTTGGATGGCCTCGGGGGGGGGGCCCGCCGGCGTTTTTGGATGGCCCCGGGGGTGGCCCGACGGGTGGTTTCTGGATGGCCCCGGGGGGTCCCGACGGTGCTCCAGATTCCAGGCTGCTGCCCTCGCATGGCGCAAGCTATGCGGTGCAAGCTACATGTTGCAAGCTATGTGGTGTAAACTATGCGAGGGAAGCCGCGTGGTGCAAACTATGTGGTGTTATCTATGTGGCGCAAGCTGTGCGGTGCAATCTATGCGTCCGAAGCGATGTGGTGCAGGCTACGTGGCGTGAGTTCTGTGGCGCAAAGTAGGTGGTGCAAGATATGGGTTGCACGCGATGTGGCGCAAGCCATGTGGATGCAAGCTGTGCGGCGTAACCTATGTGGTGCAATCTGTGTGGTGCGAGTTCCGTTGCGCAAGCTATGTGGCGCACGCTATGCGCTGAAAACCGCGGCTGGCGTTGTCAAGTGAACGCCCTGTCGGGATTGCAGCGGGCGTTGTCAAGTAGGCGCCCTGTCAGGACCAGAGCGGGCGTTGTCGAGTAGGCGCCCTGTCGGGACCAGAGCGGGCGTTGTCGAGTAGGCGCCCTGTCGGGACCAGAGCGGGCGTTGTCAAGTATGCGCCCTGTCGGGAGCGGAGCGGGCGTTGTCAAAGAAGCGCCTTGTCGGGACCGGAACGGGCGCTGTCAAGGAAACGCCTTGTCGGGACCGGAACGGGCGCTGTCAAGTAAGCGCCTTGTCTGGACCGGAGCGGGCGTTGTCAAGTATGCGCCCTGTCGGGAGCGGAGCGGGCGTTGTCAAGGAAGCGCCCTGTCGGGACCGGAGCGGGCGTTGTCAAGTAGGCGCCCTGTTGGGACCAGAGCGGGGGTTGTCAAGTATGCGCCCTGTTGGGACTGCGACCCCCCGCTTGCATGTTTCCTCCCTCGTTTCGTTCCTCCCACTTCCCTCCATTCAGTAGTAGTAGTAGTAGTAGTAGTAGTAGTAGTAGTAGTAGTAGTAGTAGTAGTAGTAGTAGTAGTAGTAGTAGTAGTAGTAGTAGTAGTAGTAGTAGTAGTAGTAGTAGTAGTAGTAGTAGTAGTAGTAGTATAGTAGTAGTAGTAGTAGTAGTAGTAGTAGTAGTAGTAGTAGTAGTAGTAGTAGTAGTAGTAGTAGTAGTAGTAGTAGTAGTAGTAGTAGTAGTAGTAGTAGTAGTAGTAGTAGTAGTAGTAGTAGTAGTAGTAGTAGTAGTAGTAGTAGTAGTAGTAGTAGTAGTAGTAGTAGTAGTAGTAGTAGTAGTAGTAGTAGTAGTAGTAGTAGTAGTAGTAGTAGTAGTAGTAGTAGTAGTAGTAGTAGTAGTAGTAGTAGTAGTAGTAGTAGTCGTCGTAGTAGCAGTAGCAGTAGCAGTAGCAGTAGCAGTCGTAGTAGTAATGGTAGTCATATTCACAACCCGCTTTTGGGTTGTTGTTTTGTGGAGAACAAATGGAAGACTGGAAAACAAATAGGGCCGAGATCCAGCTCTGAGCTCTGAGCACGGGCTGGGTTCCGTGGGCCAGGGCCCGCGGCCGCACGCTGCTCCCCCCTTCCTCCCCGCCCCCCTCCGAGCGGGCCTTCCGGTGCAACGACAGGGGCGACTGGCCCAGGAGGGTCCTGGGCACCCCCGCCCCACCCAGGAACGTTCGGTTTTGCTTTCGTGAGCCTCCCATGCCAATGTCCCCTCCCTGAACCAGTTCACCGTCTTTCCCTATCGTTCTCCCTCCTCCCCGTGGCTACATCATGAGAAAACGGATGAGTGGGACTGTCGGGAAATCGGCTCCTGAAGCACGCATGGTCCTGAGTAGACCCCCGACGCGCGCAGCTTCTCATGCGAGGCCATAGCCTCACCCGCCTCGCCCTTACGGGGCCCGGGCGCATGCCCGCACAGGCGTTCCGTTCCATTCCGTTCTCCCTCGTCCCCGTGGCCTTCCTCGGGCGGCCGAGCGGGGCCCTCGCGGCCTCGATGCCCGTGTCGTCAGCGGGCCTGGCACTCCCCGGGCGGTCTTGCAGGATCCTTGCCCCCTCGTTGGTTGTGGCGTCAGCGGGCTCCTGACTTCGCTGCCCCCCTCCGAGTTTCTTCTTCTTCTTCCTCCTCCTCCTCCTCCTCATCATCATCCCAACGCATCCGTATCAGTCGTGATGCTGCCAGGAAGTGTCGCAGACGCCGTATTGCCCCCCTCCCCGGAATTTCACATGGATCCTGTGGTCCAGCGAGCAGCACATCTTCGCGCCAGCGCTGGAGCCGGTCGTTGTCACCTCCCCCCCGTGTTCCCTCTGTCTCCTGGCCGCTGAGGGCGCGAGTTCTTGCGAGGCGTGCCGAGTGCACGCCCTCTTGCGAGCGGACCGGGCGCGGCCTTCACCGCGGCCCCCCCTGGGTGCTTGTGACCACTGGGCCCTGGGCGGCCTCGGGACCCAGCGAGCCGGGGCCCGCCTGTGTCGGCGAGCTGCTTGCAGTGCTTCGCGCACTCCGACGACCTGCTCGCGCGGACCAGCTTCTCTCGCGTTGCGCGGCCCAGCGCGGAGGCCCGCGGGGGGAGGTCCTTCCTGGCCCCATCTCGGAGCACAATACATACACATGAATACCTTTTCTGGCCGCCAGGGGCCCTGAAAGCTGGGTATCGCAGGATGGTGTTCGCGGTAGTCAACTTAGCAGCAGCAATGGCATTGTCCCGATCACGTCGGCGCAGGCCCTCTTCGGGGGACGGTCAGCCGATTCCGCGAGCCCCAGCCGACCCCGCCCCCGCCGACGATGCCAGGACACGGGGGGCAACATTATACCCCAAACCTCATCGGGTCACGACTATGCGGGTATAGCGAAAAGTGTATACACCAATCGCGCCAGACTTGTGTATACACTTCACCCAGTAAACAATGAGTGTCGGTATACACCCACAACGTTATACACAAATCATCAGGGCTGGTTTTCGCCGCCGGGGACGGGGGCGGCTGGGGTCCGCGGAATCTGGCTCATTCCTCGTGGGCGAGTCACAACGGGCTTGCATATGTGCGTGTGCTCGCTCGCAAACACGCGCATGCATTCACGCGGCGCGGGGAAGATGATGGGGTTGCCAAATTATATCGAAGCATGAAGCGTGCATCTGTATAGTTGTGTCCTCCCACCATCGTGCACGTCGACGTTTGCAGCTGGCGTGGCCGCCCGTGCGGTCGGCGCTGGTGCGCGGCTTTTGGCTGGCGGAGCCTTTCTTCGTACCAGGGGTTTCGCATTTTGTGTTGGGCACCAATTATGGATGCCCAGTGCAGTTCCATGGTCCGCCGGGTGCTCTTCTTGACTTTTTTGCGCCGTGGTGTCCGCGTCGGCACCCTTGCCGCCACAGCTGCCGGCATCCGTGGTGGCTCGCCAGCCGACCGTTGAAGCCCTCCAGCGAGCCTGCTCTGGGCTGGGTGGGCCCGCTGCCGCTGTGTCAGGATGGCTCGCGGTCGCTCGCCGCGGTCGAATCGGACGGGGGCGCAGCCAGCGAGTCCTCGGCCACTGCCGGCTGCCCGCCGCCGCGCCCGACCCGCGCTCCCGAGGAGGGCCGCGGCCGATGGGGCTGGCCAGTCCGGATCGTCGCGCGGGGCTGGCCGGACTCGGGCCGCGCGGCCTTCCCTCCCCTTCCTATCCTCCTCGCCCAACCTTCTCAGCCCCACGCCGTTTGAGAGGCGGGACGCCTTCCTGGAAGGCTGCCCCCGTCGCACTATTGTCTCGTGTGCGCCTCCAACAGACACCGTCACCACTCTTTACACTCAGTGCATTGATTGCGGGGAGAAGGCCCCCCTGGGCCTACTCCACGGTCCCTCCCCGAAGCCTACTCTGGGTTTCTTAATAAGCGTGGGGGGGTACCCCCCCGACGGGGGTCAACCTCGCCTCGTCGTCGCGCCGCGACGGGGATCGGAGCGCCTTCGGCGCGCGGTGGCTGCCCGCGACGGGGGTCGATGTGGGGCTGTCGGCGAGGGTGACGCACCCCAGACGCTTATTACGAAACTCGGAGTACTTGCCGCTGGTCTTCCTCGGGCCTACCCGAGGCCCTTCCGCCAGGCCCACCTTAGACCTGCCCCGTTGAGCGCCGATCCCCTCAACAGGCATCTGCTCGAGACCTGCGTGTCGCGCAGGAGAGGAGAGGGAGGGGCAGGATACGTTTTTGCCGAGGTCAGCGCCGATGGATGCCAGTGCGAGCAGCACGGGGCCGCCCAGATACGAGCAGGGGGATGGAGGGGCCCGCGTCGGGCAGGTGTCTCGGCCGCGGTCCTGGAGGGGAAGTCCCCCTGATTTACCGACCGTCTGGAAGGCGGCTCGGCCGCGGTCCCGGAGGGGAAGTCCCCCAGACTCACCAAGTCCCGACATCGTTTGCCTTGGTGCCGGAGGCTCCGGCACCAAGCCAGCAGGTTCGTCGAGCGACTTGCGTGCGAGCGCGCTCTGCGCGTGCCCTGCTCCGTCGGAGGGGGGCGGGGGGCGGGGAGGGGGGCTCGCGCCAGGGCGTGCGCGGGACGTCCCTCGGGATGCTCGCCACATTCTCTGCGGAGGCGCCTCCAGGCTCGCCTCCGAGGGCGGGGACGGCACGGGCACGGCTGGAGGAAGATCGAGTCGGGGCTAGCCATACCCAGACACTGACATCCTTGCGTCGTGAAGGCGACGAAATCCCGGGACAGTCAAAAAACAGCTCTGGGCCTCGTGAGCGGCGCTCCAGGGGGGCACCTGAGCCTTCGCTGAAAAATTGGGGCTACTTTGGACCAGGGCGACCTCTGGCAGCACCCGATCGTTGTTCGGGGCGGACGAAGAGGGGGTGGGTGGGTAGGGTATGATGGGGTTTGCGAGATCTGCTGCGTTCAGCTGGTTTCGGCCCCGCCGCCAGGCGCTTTCCTCGGTACACTGGCGTCTCTGGCGCCAGAAAAGAATAGTATGCAACCGATTCGCTACCCCCTCTTGTCCTATCCCCCCTCACGTCCGACCTGAAAGCTGGCGGAAGGATGGCGGAAATTACAACGGCGGCGGGTCCGCCGAAGGAAGGTCTGCGGAAGGCGGTGGAAGTAAAAGCGGGAGGTCAACATGCCAGGTAGAGCGATGAACACATGCGTATTTCGATGTGGTCCTGCGTCATTGGAGGCACCGCCATCGTGCATTGATCAGGGACAGCAGGCTGTCACCTTCTGCTGACATCTACTAGCTCCTCCCCTTCGCTCTCCCCTCCTTTCCTCCATCCCCCTCCTCCCCTCCTTCCCCCCTCCCCTTCTCCCCTCCTCCCTTCTTTCTCTTCCCCTCCTCCCCTCCCGCCTCCACTCCCACTCCCACTTCCCCCCCATCCTTATTGTGAAGACCTTAAGGCCAGTGCCGCCGACCCCGAAGGACGACCATGATGACGACCACGACGACGACCACGACGACAACGATAACGACGATCTGATGACCCTGCCACAGGTTCGAGACATGGGGCGGGCGGTGGCGGGAGGAGGAGGAGGAGGAGGAGGAGGAGGAGGAGGAGGAGGAGGAGGAGGAGGAGGAGGAGGAGGAGGGTT